CCCAGCTACTTGGGAGGCTGAGGGAGGAGAATAGCTTGAACACGGGAGGTGGAGGTTGCAGTGAGCCGAGATCCCACCATGGCACTCCAGCCTGAGACAGAGTGAGACTCCATCTCAAGGAAAAAAAAAAAAAAAAAGAAAGAAAAAAGAGAAGGCTATTTATATTCAAGAGCATAAGGACACTGATTTTAGACCTATTACAAAATATGTCCAAGCAATATGTAATGTATTACTGGAACATTCATTTCAAAGCTGAATATAATTTGCATCAGCAAAGAGTACCCTTCCTGGGCATGCACGAGTACAGTCCAGCTTTGTAAATTTTCATGGACGGCCTGAAATGGGCTCATACCTGCCCTTCTCCTCCAGTCGATCACTTTCCCTAGTCTTCAGCAATAAGTCACTGTCATCTCCCTGGAATGATTTCTTCCATCTTCTGTCTTGTTTTTCATCTTGACAGTTTCCCAGATCTATCTTATTCTAAGGAGAAAAACAATGAAAATCTTAAGTATACATTTTAAATACACTGTATAACCCTTATCTCTGGCCAGGGATATCTGAAGTATTTTTCAATCATGTTGCCTATAATTTAAAAACAGTTGTCCAAATTAACTGAATAGCCACTGATTTCCACCTACTTGGAATAAATGTATAATCTGAATCTCTTTTGAAAGTTATTACAAAAGGGAATTGATTAGAAAACCCCTCTTTCAAAATAAAACAGTCATAGGATTGCTCATTTCAGGACAAATGGTTTTCTGGTATCCACAGGTTATTTTCCTTTATGTGGATTATGGACTATCCAGGTCTTGATATAACTTCTGCCCTATCCTTCCATCTTCTATGACCTTATTTGGGGAATGTGGAGGCAGACCAGACTTTATAGGCTCTCTCTGGCCTTCAAAGACAACATGTAAATTTCTTGAGAATTTTTGTTTGTTTTTAGTGCTGTCCTACATAAGTTCATTTTATTTATTTATTTAGGTTTTTAAATTTGTTTTTTGTTTTGTTTTTAAGTTTCGGGGTACATGTGCAGGATGTGCAGGTTTGTTACATAAACAGGTGCCATGGTGGTTTGCTGCACCCATCACCTAGGTGTTAAGCCCAGCATCCATTAGCTAGTTTTTAAAAATTATTATTTCCTTTAGAGATAGGGTCTTGTTCTCTCACCCAGGCTGGAGTACAGTGGTGCAATGGCAAGATCATGTTCACTGTAGCCTTTACCTCCCGGGCTTAAGGGATCCTTCTGCCTCAGCCTCCCAGGCAGCTGGGACTACAAGTCTTGTGGAATGTGGGGGGTGAGAAGCGATTTTCATGGACGCTGGTGGAGAACATATTATTAACATCTCTGCTGCTGCCAAACAATGGAAAGGAATGTATAGTATGGCAGAGGGGAATAAATGTCTATTGAATGAATAATGATCTGGCAACTGGTCTGTGAGAAGAATATTCCAGAACATGACTTCACTAATTGAGATCTTGCCAGCCAGGTGTGGAGAGACTCTGGCTTCCAGCCTACTGGGATAGATCTGGCTGGGGTAATGACTTTACTGCTCCACAGGAAATGACTCGAGTTTGGCAGCAGCAGTGATGGAACAATGGGGCACAATGGCCACATAGTTGCTGACGTGATTCTAGGGGAATAGCTAGTCTTGGATTTAAACTATTGAGTCTGTTGGGTAACCCTGGTCTTGGGGTTTTGTACTTCTATTTAGGTTTCTTTATTTCACAAATTGCTTTTAATCTGTGGTCTCACCATTGTCCCATTGCCTTCAGTCACGGAGGAAGAGGTAGACAGCTGGTCAGCGGAACTTGAAGAAACAGTAAATGGAACCACAGTGTCTTCAATTATCTTACGCTCCTAAGGGGAAGGACAGAAATCGATGAAAGGGGGGAAAATAAAAATCATATTTGTCAAAAGAAAAATGTCATTAAGGCACTTTAGAAAAAAATCAGAATATGTTCGAACAAGCAGGGCATTTTAAAAAGTCTTAAAAAAAGTCAAAAGCATGCAAATCATATAACACTCTCCATGGGTAATAATTTAGAAATTAACATTTAATTTTGAAAAACAAAGACTCCACAAATTAATTGGTTAGAGTGATACAAGAAGCCTAATTAGAAATGCTATTTTCTGATATATGGATCTGATTATGACATAGGGATCTGATTATGCACCAAAAGTATTGTTGAATATAAAATTCACAATATTAATTATGAACAAACTTTAGATAATATACATAAAATGCAGCCCCCTTTAAGTTATCTAATGTGTTCTGGCTTATTCATTTAAAAAACAAAATGAACCTAAACCAAATTCTCTTCTCCTCCAAATCTCTTTAGTGCTCTATAGTAAATGCATTCATTCAGCCTCAATATCAAAATTATCCTCATAGAATTAATTCACTATTACCAAACAACAAACACACAAATGAATGGAACTGATTATTTCATGTCACCTCTCCAAGATCAATCAAGAATCTGACTCACTGATTAGAGAACAGATGTAATTGTATCGTCTCCCTTGACTGACTCAACACGCCCTTACCATGAACTGTATTTGAGGGGAATTTTGGTCTTTTAGAACCTAAATGACATGACTGTTTTAAAGAGGTTGATGGGATTCTGCTGTCAGTAAAGAGTCAGACACAGCCACACGCATCTGCATGCCACAGACACAGAGAGTGTTGCTAGATTGAGGAATTGGGATGACAAGGTCAAATTCCTTCTTGGGAATTTCCTACCTCCTCATAGTATCTGCGTTCTTCCTCTTCCACCTCCTTTTGGGCCTTTTCCCACTCTTCTTTCAGCTTGTCCTGCTCCTTCTGGTATCTCTCCTGTTATGGAATTTCCATAGATTGTTCTGAACTGATTGCATACGTCATCGGGAATTTTCCCCCCAAACCACCATGCACAATACGTTGCAAGATTATCTTCTTCTTGTAAGGATTCTGAATGTAATTGATTCATGCAATGAAAAGGGAATACAGTTTTGTGGCACTCAAACATTTTGGGAACATAAAAATCCAATGGACAGCAGTATTTTCTACTGCTCATGTTTTGCTTACAGAAAGAGAAAAGACAGAAAGGTGGAAAACCTCTAAAATCTTCCTTCACTTGGGTATTGTCCCAGGTGTGCTAAATCAATAGTTTGGTTTTATTGGGCCCTTTAGAGATGAGTTTTGCCATTCCACTAATAGAAATGTATTGCTGCGAGGAAAGTGTGATAAAAGACGAAAAATCTTGAAGGTTTATAAGACAGACAATACAGAAAGGTCCACTGTGGACAAGATGATAATTAGCTGAGTAGCTGAATCACTCTTTGCTTGTGACTATTTTACCAAAATATTCTTCCTAGCTTTAAGTAACTCCTGAATTAACAGTAGTTTTTAACCAGTCCATTAGAGTACTTCTTCAGAACTGCCATTTTTGTTTTCAGAAACAATGCAGCACAAGTCACCATTTCTAGGGGGGGGAAAGAACATACTATGAATAAAAACGGTGTTCAAAATGTGACTGGAGTCCCTGATGGCTGATTAGAAGAAATGAATAAATGGGGATTAAAATTAATGCATAAAATGAGAAGTGACACTCCTGATGCCTTGGGAATGGCATCCTGACATGACAGACAAAGGAACCATTGATGCGTGGTGCACACACTCAAATATTTTAGGCTGACTGTTGTCAATCCTCTCTTCAGGGCTGAAACAAGTCTGCTTCTGTCTTCATGGGGAAGCCACTGAGATTTCCTGCAGGCATCACCTGTTTTGTCGGTATCTTAGGAGCAGAAGGACTTTCTTGGCATTCTCTGGAGCATGGTGTTCTTATTAACTCTAACAAAAATCACTGTTGATCAACCCATGGCATGCTCTTTATCTCCAGGTAAAAATGTGTTATGAAAACCAAATATTGTAAAGTTTTAGAGAGGGACCTCAGGGGCTTTTTAGAATAGAGGAGAGAGACCTTAAAACTACATAAAAGCTGAAAACCAGTAAAGCTTCTTAGACTTCTTGGTTCTAGGAGTTTACATCATGTGTTCCCCTCACCAAGAGGATGAACTGATTATGCAGAGAGGCAGAGAGTGAAAGATGCAGTATTACACACACACACACACACACACACACAGTCTCTCTCTCTCTCTCACGCCCTCCCCGACAAACACCTTGGCCCACAACCCACGATGCCATACCAGGCAACAAGTTAGAAACACAGGAGCAATAGAAAGGCCTGGTGCCTGCGTCTGTTACCAGGGGTCACCTCTTGGCATGTAATAGAGCACCACAGTGGGGAGCACATTTGCCTGACTTCACCGTGTGGAAATCTGACTCTTGGCTGTTCATCATTTACATAGGGAATGAGGACCTAACTCTCCGAGAGACGAGCAGATGGTTGGGGTGCACTGAGGTCTCACAATGGACCTCAAATCCCAGCAGCTCCAAGACTTTGATGAATCAGGTTCCTACTAACAGTTTGGTATTGAAGTCTTAACCTTCTGCAAGTTCCAAAATGCCAAATTTAGGCAGAACCAAAACCACACTACCATCTACTACTGCTATATAAATCACCATCCACCATCTCACCCCTGGGAATTCAGCCAAAAGGATTAGAACAAAAAAAAAGAAAAAGAAAGAAAAGAAAAAAAAAGTAAAATAAACTTGCATTAAGCATTGCTTTCTACAAGCAGCAGAAAGTCACCAAAATTAATGAGATTTAACATATTTTCCTTTATTTATTTATTTTTTATTTTTTGTAAAATCAGTACTAGTGGGAATGTAGTGGAAGGACCATGAGTTTTAAAGTCATCTAGACTTGGATTTGAATCTGGTCTTGACACCTGTTAGCTGTGTAACCTTGGGCAATTAATTAATTTCAGTGAGCTTTACTTTCTTCAGTTGCAAACAAGGGCTAATAAGACATACTTTGAAGTGTTGTTTGAGGATAAATGAAGTAAAAATGTCAAGCACTAACCACAGTTCCTGGCACATCCCAGGTAACCAACACGGGTTAGTTCTTTAGGTTGCCAGATTGCCTTTTGAAGCCGTGTTAATCCATAAAACTGGCACGAAGTAGGAGTATGATGAACTTACTACCAGAATTTTTCTAGAATTGATAATCAGCAGCTTTTACTCAAAGGTAGAGCAAACATTTCTTTTTCTTTTTTTGTGTGTTTTTGAGACGGATTTTCGCTCTTGTCATCCAGGCTGGAGTGCAATGGCGCGATCTCGACTCACTGCAACCTCTGCCTCACGGGTTCAAGCGATTCTCCTGTTTCAGGCTCCCTAGCTGGGATTACAGGCATATGCCACCATGCCCGGCTAATTTTGTATTTTTAGTAGAGACTGGCTCCATGTTGGTCAGGCTGGTTCTTTTTTTTTAGACAGTCTCACTCTGTTGTCTAGGCTGGAATGCAGTGGCGCGATCTCAGCTCACTGCAACCTCTGCCTTCTGGGTTCAAGCAATTCACATGTCTCAGTCTCCTGAGTAGCAGGAATTACAGGTGTGCATCACCACGCCTGGCTAATTTTTGTATTTTTGTAGAGATGGGGTTTCGCCATGTTGCCAGGCTGGTCTCGAACTCCTGACCTCAGGTGATGCACTCACGTCGGCCTCCCAAAGTGCTGAGATTACAGTCGTGAGCCACCACACCTGGCCCTCAAAGGTAGAGCAAACGTTTCTATTTAAGAAACTAGACTGAGGCTAAATTTTATTTCACGTGTATGCTAGCAGAGAGCTTTTAGATAATTAATTCCCCCTGCTACTTGGACCAGAAATTGATTGGCAACTAAGGAGGTGATGAATGGGTAGACTGGCCCTTAACCATATTTGGAGGAGTTTTTGGTTCAGCGTTCATATGAATGGTTTTTCATCATGTTTATTATTGTAGTCTTTGGCAGGAAGAATGAGACACAGGGTACTCCATTACATGGACACAAAATGTGGAATCCATGTGGATTCCTTTCCACATTTCCTGTGCTAAAAGTCTACTTAATGCAATGGAAAGTAAAGTAAGAGAAAAAAAAAAAGAAAAAACAAAAAAAGCAGCAAACCCAGTCCTACCTGAAGCAAACGTTCCTGTTCCTGTTGCCATTTTTCCTGTCGCCTGCGCTCCTCTTCTGGGTCCCATGCCCAGAACTTAAACTGCTTAGAAAAATAAAAGCATGATCAGAATGGAGCCATGTCCTCAAGGGACAGGCCAGGTCAAGAGAAGACAATTGGCCTCTGGCCTGGCACCCAGATTGACACACAGAAGCAGAAGGCTTCACGTATCTAAACATCCTCTTTGGTGGCAGAAACCATTTTTTAATCTTAGTCCCTCTTTGATTTACTTCCAAGATGCTGGTATGATTCTGTGAATCTTTTTGGAGCTAATGAAAACACAAAGTAATTAGCCACTGGCGTTGGAAAGCTTTGCTTCATTTCTCTTAGAAGTGATTTCTCTTAAACGCATTCATGCTTCTGAGCTTAAGGTGCTCATTCTGCATATTGATCCTGGGTCCAAGCAAACAAGACCGGTTATTTTAGCAGAAATGCATTTTGTAAGAAGTAGTGTTTGCCACACTATAAAACTAATCTTTTATACTGCAGTTGCTTTTCCGTATCACCTTTCCCTACAGGGGGTTATTTAACTCACAAATGCTCACCAGTAACACCTAAGATCCAGGCAAGCAGATCACTTGCCCTGGGGCCCGCATGACACAAACGCTCAAGCTCAAAGACTTATTTCCTTTTTGTATTAATAAAAGGTTTTTGCAAGTTTGGGAAACAAGTAAATAATGGGGAATAACAGAGAAAAATCCATGAACCAATGCAGGTGTCCAGGCCACAGAATATGAGACTGGGAGGGTGCAGGTCGGGGGAGGGAGGAGGGAAATCAGTCAGCCCCCGGGAAACGAGTAAAGATGGGTTGCTGTGTTTAAAGTCGGCTGCCCCAGTCACCCAGAGTAGGTGCCCAGGCAGACCAGGTTCCTCAGTAACTGTGCTCCTCCCTTCCCTTTGTTCTGAAGGGGTAGGACAGGGAGGCAACTGCCTGGGAATCTTGAGTTGAAAAAGCAAGGCAAGGGTGGGGAAGGTGTCGGGGGATGGGAAACAGGGTTGGGGTGGGGAGGGGTGCAGGCAGAATCTGTGTACCCTGGTAGCCTGGGAAGATGAACAGGGGCAGTCCTATCCAAGGCTTTGATAGATCCAGTTAGTGCCCAGGGTACCTGGGCCAGGCCACCCCCCACTCTGCCTGGCCCCCAACAGATTCACATTACCATTCAGGTGTATGCAGGTGGGCTGGCCCAGGGAAGTATTTTGAAGCAGAGAATGCAGGCCAGGCCATGGGTGATGCTTGATTTATAACTTCATAAATATTTAGAACTTTAATATATTTGGACAAATGAAACATGGGCCTCATTTTGTACTCTTGCTACCGTGCTTCCTGCAATTGATTGCGATGGCCACAATGCTCACAGAATAGTCAAACACAAGTGGGCCAATAAGCTAGGGATACTAGCTTATCGTTTCCTACTTGCCACTCCTGAGTTTCACACTGCACATTAGCATATTACAGGCTCTGGTAAGTTATGCAGGGGGAAAATCATTTAATTGTGTATACAGATGGTCCCCAACTTAACAATTTTTCAAGTTTATGATGGTGCAAAAGCAATATGCAGTCGGTAGAAACTGTACTTCAAATACCCAAACAATCATTCTGTTTTTCACTTTTAGGTTGGTATTCAATATATTTCGTGAGATATTCAACACTTTATCATAAAATAGGCTTTGTGTGAGAGGATTTTGCCCAACTGCAGGCTAACATAAATATTTTGGGCACATTTAAGGTAGGCTAGGCTGAGCTATAATGTTCAGTAAGTTTGGCGTTATCAAATGCAGTTTTGACTTTGAGTATTTTCAACTTACGATGTCTTTATTGGGATGTAACCCCATTCTTAAGTTGAAGAGCATCTGTAATCTAAAATTGCCCAAACTCACTTGGATGACCATAAATGTTATCCAAATGTGGTTACACCAGAATTCTATTAGAATTTAATGACACTGGAAGTTGGCTCCACCTGTCATTGTCCTAGAACTTCGAGGTGGTTTAAACATTCAGAAGCTTTTCCAGGGGCACGGCCCCCCTTTGTCTTTTGAGGGAAAAGGGGATGTTTATGTGAATAAAGCCACAGAAAGACCACTGAGGAAAGTTCAGTAGTAGGAAAATAGGAGAAACAATTAGGAATTATTTAATTTCTAAATTTCACTAGGCGGTGCTCTCAGGAATGTCAAGTAAGGAGTGGGCAGATAGGAGGAGGAAGTGTGGGGCAGGGGGATTGAGTACAGAAAATACAGAATATGTGTCAAAAGGCAAGAGAGGAAAGCAGTGGGTATGTTAAGAGGAGGATAAAGGGGAAGAAACCAGCATGATAAACAAGAGAGAATGAAACAATGATCTTGCTCCTTCTTTTGCAGATTATTTCCTGGGCACTGACTGTGGGCCAGGGCAGGGGTACCAGCTGGCCAAGTGGCCCAGCCTCATGGAGCTTATACCTGAGTGCGTGTGGGGTGGCAGAGTGACCAATATATACGTATGACCAGAAGATAGTGTGATAACTATCATAAGAGATGTAAAAAGTGTTAGAGGAAGTCAGAATGGACAGCATTTAACCCACTTGGTCCTACAATTTACCTGTTTACAAGTCCATATCTTCCTCTGGCCTAGGGATTTCTCAGGAGGCAGGAAGGGCCCCTCACCCTCCTATCTATCCCAAGACTTTATATTTTTAGGCCCTCAACAAATGTTTGTTGAATAAATGAATGGAATCCCTTCATGCTGGGTAATGCATCTCCTACCATCAGAGTCCCTTCTTTTCACAGTCCTGAGGGCCTCAAGTACTCCAAGTCCAATCAAAAATAGCCAGTCTATGGAGGCCCGCATAATCTAATGCTTATATCCTCTTGAAGCTTTACTTATTTCAAGTTTCTTTTATTTTCTATTCTATGATGAGCCATTTACTATCAAAAGCACATGAAATTTTCAGAGGATTTACTTAAATAGGCCAGTGATTTTTGTCTTTCTTATTCTATTTTCCATAAACAAGAAATGAGAATGTGTTTCTTTGGAATGCCCTTCCTCTCCATCCCTCCCCAGGGGCATGAACAACTGACATATTTGTTCTAAATGCAATTTAAAATGGAAAACTTCAGATCTGTGCCACGGATGCCAGCTCTGGGATCGTTCTGGGGTTCCCATCCATCATCAATGAACTCAGCTTCCCAGGAAACTCAGGATTCCCAGTATTGGCTTGGGAGTGAGCCTCCACAGATAGTCCCTAGTTTTGTAATGTGGGTTATGCAACAAGTGATGGATCCCTTCTCTGTTCTGCAGAGATACTTAGGACTCCCTAAGTGAGACAATTTGCCTATAAATAAGAATTGATATTGACTATGGTGGGCCTCTTGGATTGGCTATTGGGAGTGGGGGAAGGATTCATTTACGTATCAGTCACTGTGCTAGGGGCTTCTGAATAATTATTTCAATTAAGGCTCATAACAACTTCAAAAGAAAAGTACTGTCACCTTATTGTACAGTTAAGGAAGATGAGGTTCAGAGAAGTTATATAACACCTTCAGGGCTACACAGCTAGATCCGGAGTCAAAGGTACAGTAGTGATTATGTGGCTGAGCTGGGGTTGCTCATGGGCAATGCCGCAGTTGGTTGTGCCACAGAGAAAGTCTCCAAATCCAATGGAAATTCCAGAGGATGAATGAGGAGGACAGGCCCGAGATTAGAAACACCAGTTCAGATGCCATGCAGCAGCAAGGAATGTCCACAGCATCTTGTGTCTTATTTTAATTAACAAATGCTTTCTTATTTCATTAAAATACAAAATGGAAAGCAACATTATAGTTAATATTGGTCAAATACTGATTATGAGAAGGGGTACAAAAATGAGAGCTTGGGTCTCTTGGAGAGTTCAGGCAGGTCCTATCTGCCAACAATATACTATGTTCAAGTATTATCCTCATATTAAAAAATGAGATGCATTTTAAAAAATGTGTCTATAGAAACTGTCAGTTTTAATACTAATTCCTACTGTCCTATTCTATTCTATTCTATTCTATTCTATTCTATTCTATTCTATTCTATGAGATGGAGTCTCACTCTGTTGCCCAGGCTGCACTGCAGTGGTATGATCTTGGCTCACTGCAACCTCTTCCTCCTGGGTTGAAGCAATTCTCCTGCCTCAGCCTCCTGAGTAGCTGGGATTACAGGTGCCCGCCAGCACGCCCAACTAATTTTTATATTTTTAGTAGAGACAGGGGTTCACCATGTTGGCCAGGCTGGTCTTGAACTCCTGACCTCAAGTGATCCACCTACCTCGGTCTCCCAAAGTGCTGGGATTACAGGTGTGAGCCACTATGCCCAGTCTGTCACATTCATTTTAATTGCCTCTTAGATTTTGCTTTCTTATCACTTATTTCCAGGCACGGTAACAATTCCATATAATGATAATCCATATCTTTATAATTTACCCAATGGCGCTACATACGACTTTTAATTATTCTTTTAAAAATCAATTGTTTGGGTCTCAATTTTGGTTGAATCCTCCTTTTTTTTTTTTTTTTTTTTCTGAGATGGAGTTTTGCTCAGTTGCCCAGACTGGAGTCCAGTGGCGTTATCTCGGGTCACTGCAACCTCTGTCTCCTGGGTTCAAGCAATTCTCCTGCCTCGGCCTCCAAAGTAGCACCACCACACCTGGCTAATTTTTGTATTTTTAGTAGAGATGGTGTTTCACCATGTCGGTCAGCCTGATTTTGAACACCTGACCTCGTGATCTGCCCGCCTAACCCTCCCAAAGTGTTGGGATTACAGGCATGAGCCACTGCACCCAGTCTGAATACTCTTTAAGCCAATCAAATGTTATAAATTAAAATCACACTAACTCATAATCTTATTCCTTAAAATGAGTGACTTACAGGTGTTGTAACAGGTGACTTTTCACTGCTTGGAGAATCCACTGCGCAGAAAAAAAAAGAAAGAAAAAAAGATACGAATGTGAGTATCTTCTAATTGTCTTTGTTTTTGACCTATCAGTGGAGTGTAGTTCCTACATCAGCTTTAAACCAATTTTTGTGTGTGTGTGTCTTTGTGTTTGTGTTTGGTAAGCCAAGAACATCAGAAAATCATAATAAAGCAGACAACCCCTGTAGCAGTTGCACCCATCACCAAAGAAAGTTAAAACCACTATCAAATGATTGATCACATCAATTAACACCAGGTACCAGACTACAGGAAGCAAAAACTGTTCCTATTAGTACTGATTCTTAGTGCACTTTGCATTCTGGCTTGACTAAGTAGTTCCCTCACTGTCTGGCATGGAGAAGTACCATACAAAGAGAGGCCAGATGTCACCCAGGAAGCAAACACAGTGACACAGTTAACAAGAGAACCATGATCAGTTTCCGGTAAATGCTTTTAATTTTTTTTTGTTTTTAAAGGCAGGGGACTATCAAGAAAATGATGAATATTATTATTTCTCTGAATTCTTGAAATCAACATAAAGTTGTGTGATTCTCTCCCCCCACCCACAATTTTAGCATAACGGTAGTAATACCAAAGAACTAGCTCTTTGCTAACTGTGCATAAGAAATAATTTTTTTCCCCAGAAATCAGAAATGAAGACAAGTGCCAGACATCATTGATCGCCCCAATATGGATTTTTGCACAAAAGAAATACAGCTACCCAGTATGCAGTTTACCTGACTGGGAGAAAAACTGGGATCGTCGCCAAGAGTTCTGAACTCTAAGCGGAACACTGGCAGTGCCAGGCGACTCTAGATCAGACGGCAGAACAGAACAAACAGAAAACCATGAAAACTAGGGTGAGAACGGAATAGAACCATGCTCCCAAGTACGAAAGGGGGTTTGGCTATAGTCAATACCAGAACTGACAGTCAGTAAATCTACAGTACAAAATGTCTTAATAATACACAGATAAAACCTGAAGACATGGACAAAATCAACAGAACCGGGACAGTTTATGCTATTGTTTGTCTTCTTTGGTGTTAGGTGAAATTTCATAGGGTCACACCTAATGGTGATAGTGTTAAAATGTTAAATATCAAAATGATAGGATGATATACTATGCAAGAACAAAAATGTACAATTTGTATTGCTTTTTGGAGAACACTAGAAAAGTATAAAGGGCAGCAAAGATGGGTGGTTTAATTACTATTTCATATACATTACACTTCATAAGTTTTTTGTATATATAAATAAAGGTTGTGTATATGCCTGTCTGTGGTGATTCATGGCAAGGATCCTTAAAACTCTGCTGTTCTCATCATTTTCAAGCCTCCCCCCAAAATCAGTTTTTAATGTGCACATATTTCACTGAAACATCAGTTTGAGATATCTTTCTGCTGCTGAGAGGCAGTTAAGAAAAGAAAATTTGTCACTTTCAAATGTATTTTATGAATGTTTTCAGGGCATTTAAAGACTGAATGCATGGGTGTGTGTGTAAGGAAAACGTGTGGAACAGCATTAGGGTCGACCAGCAGATCTTCAGTGACCTGTATGACCAGTCTACGAATGGATGACTTTATAGAAATGGGGAAGAGACCACTTTCTGGATGAGAAAGTATTAGGTGTCTCTCCAGGATACCTGATCCTAACCCTAGAGTTCCACTGGACTTGATGCTTGACTTCAGGTCAGTCCCTTAAATGGGTGCTGGGCAGAGACCTATGCCTCCCCAATTTCCCCATCCTAATTGAAGACAAATCATGTATTTTAAGGTTACATTTATTAGATGTTTTTGGCTTCTTGAAAGATGGAAACTTTATAAACTTCAAGCAATAATTACTGTTATTTTCATATCAATCAATGATATTTTTGGTGCACAATTTAAATAAATACTTGAGGCCACTGGTTTTCAGAGTGTGGTGAGATATGCAGCTTGAGCATCACCTGGGAACCTGTAAGAAATGCAAATCCTCTGGCCCCAGCTTAGACCTACTGAATGAGACACTGTGAGAGTGGGCTCCAAGCCCTACAGGGACCCTGGCACACACCAGTGTTTGAGAACTGCGGTGAAAAACCGGATCTCCACAACATGAACACTCTTATTTTAAAGAAAGGATTCAAGAGTAATTTATTCCTGCCTGGTGTCTTGCTCTATTCTTTTACTACTCCTGCTGCTATTCTACGATTACTAGATTACATTATGAATGCTTATTCTGGGCCAGGTATTGAGCTAAACACTTTTTATGGATTCTCCCATTTGGTATTTCTAATATCCCTATGAGGTTATTACTGGTATTATTTCTAGTTTACAGGTACTGATTAGAGATTAGGGGAAATCTGATGGGTACAGTCACACAGCTAAGAACTACACACATGAAAATCTGAACCCAGGCATTCTGTCTCCAGAGCATGCAGCTATAGTTACAGTTTCCATGAACTGGGTAAAAGCATTGATATGGTTTGGCTATGTCTCCTCCCAAATCTTGAATCGTAGCTGCCAAAATTCCCACGTGTCATGGGAGGGACCTGGTACGAGGTAATTGAATCATGAGGGCAGGTCTTTCTTGTGGTATTCTCGTGATAGTGAATAAGTCTCATGAGATCTGATGGTTTTATAAAGGGGAGTTTCCCTGCACAAGCTCTCTCTTTGCTGGCCGCCATGTAAGACATCCCATTGCTCTTCCTTCATCTTCCACTATGATTGTGAGGCCTCTCTAGCCATGTGGAATTGTGTGTCAATGAAGCCTCTTTCCTTTATAAATTACCCAGTCTCAGGTATGTTTTTATCAGCAGCATGGAAACAAACTAATACAAGTATACAACTGGTGTACTCCAAATATAATTCTATCTTAAAGAATAAATTTTGAAATGTTTCAGTATTCCACTAAATTTTATTTTTTAATCATTCAACTTGGGTAAAGAATGAAGTAAAGTTTCTCAATTCAGCAGCACATTTTATAAAATCAAAATGCCTCACAATAAGTAATGGAATGTGTAAATTTATAAGAAAACAAAACATGGCTTTAAAATGGCTTAAAATATTTATTCCCTCTCTATACCACTTATCTACACAATTACAAAGTACTAGAAATAGGGCAGAATTAAAATTGGTCCAAATATGGCCATTTGCTGGCCCAGTTGTGACACTTCATTTTTGTTAATTCCCTTCAGGACAGTAGGACTGACAAATTTAAGATAAATGCTTCGAAAATAGTATTGAACTTGTTTCCACATTATGAACCTAGTAACCATCAGTACATGTACCAGTTAATTATTCCCAAGAGTTCCCTGTTATGTAGATAAAGCCCAACTTATCTGCCAAACATCAATAATAGCTAACGGAAGCCAACTCAGATGCTGCCAGTGGCTGAAATAGCTGCCCACCCTTAAAAAGAAAAGTAAAAATAAGCTAAATCTACAAAATCCACTGGGGAAAGTCTATTAAAAAAGAAAAACAAGAAACCCTACAGTTCTTGCCTCCTGAACTCTAGCTGTTTTTTAAAAAAATGTTTAGGCTGGGCGTGGTGGCTCACACCTGTAATCCCAGCACTTTGGGAGACTAAGGCGGGCAGATCATGAAGTCAGGAGATGAGACTATCCTGGCTAACACAGTGAAACCCCATTTCTACTAAAAATACAAAAAATTAGCCGGGTGTGGTGGCAGGTGCCTGTAGTCCCAGCTACTTGGGAGGCTGAGGCAGGAGAATGGTGTGAACTGGGGAGGCGGAGCTTGCAGTGAGCCTAAATCGTGCCACTGCACTCCAGCCTGGGCGACAGAGCAAGACTCCCTCAAGAAAGGGAAGGGAAGGGAAGGGGAGGGGAGGGGAGGGGGAAAGGAAAGAAAGAAAGAAAGAAAAAAAGAAATGAAAAAGAAAAGAAAAGAAAAAGAAAAAGAAAGAAAGTAAGCTTAAATTTAATTTTTTTTTTGGTAGCAACAAAGTCTTGCTGTGTTGCCCAGGCTGGTCTCAAACTCCTGGCCTCAAGTGCTCCTGCCTCGGCCTCCCAAAGTGTTGGGATTACAGGTGTGAGCCACTGCGTCTGGCCCGTTTCCACATCTACAGAGAGATCTCACAGCAGTAAAATTCAGTGGTCTAGTTGTTTTGAAGAATAGTCCCTCTGGGTTGTGAATTCTCAGAACCCATCCTCCACTGTTCACATCCCTCAGGGCCCTTTCTGGTGGTCATGGGCACCTGGGATTCCCCCTGGGATAAAGGGATTCAAATTGGGTTCTTAAAGAATAAAGGGGTGAAGTCACAACCCTAAATATGGTCTACACAGTACTTGGGGAATTTTCAGTGGTCAGTGACATTTTAAGACTTTCTTATAAAGCCCTAAATGCCTATGTTTTTAGAGGCAACCCCTTCCTACATCATATCAAACACATTAAAATACATCCTCAGTATGTATGTGTTAAACATTTTTAAATCCTCAGTATTGTGTGTGTGTGTTACACATACACACATATGTTTCTCATATATACATATATATATATATAGAGCTACAAATGATTTTTGGAAAGATTAAAATGTTTGTCTATAACCTGTTTAACTATGATGGTGAATGATTTCTCAATAATCATCAGGCACCCAGGAATTATTATGGAGTAAAAAGAATGGCTTTTTCTCAAAATTATTGTCAAATTAAATGGTGATGACTAGAATTAACAGTGAAATAGACATAATATTAAAGTTTTTATTAAATATATTAATTTCTGAGTTTATGACTATCTTTATATTTTAGAGATAATAATTTTTTTTTTTTTTTTTTTTGAGACAGAGTCTCACTCTGTCGCCCAGGCTGGAGTGCACTGGCATGATCTCGGCTCACTGCAACCTCCGCCTCCTGGGTTCAAGCGATTCTCCTGCCTCAGCCTCCTGAGTAGCTGGGACTAAAGGCATGTGCCACCACGTCCAGCTAATTTTGATAATACCAAAATTTTAAAGCTCTAACACTTGTATAGGCTCTATTGTGCCTATAGTGCCTGGCTGACCAAATGGCCTTGGCAGCTAGGGTTCTTGGTCTGCTAAAATAGAGAATCCAGCCCCAGCTTTCCATTCTTAAGTTATAAATTCAGCCATCACAGACTCTGGCAAACATGCTGGCTAAAGGAATATCAACATAAAGGACGTAATCTTCCTTTAAAGTAAGTAATAGTTTACTACAGATGGGCTCAGCAGAACATGTAGACCTAAAATAAAACGTGTCCTCCTCTTTACCTTGAGAATTGAGATTTGGCAAATGTAGTTGGTTGGTTTCCGGCATTTTGTCCAGAAATGGAAATGTCAGCGTTGCTTCTGGTTCTGGAGATTTTGGCTTTACCACCTGGACAATGGACAACAGGCATAAACATTACAATAACTGTCCATTAATAAACACACAGGTGGCATAAAATTTAAGGATCCATGGTTATAACAGAAGTCAATCAGTTCAAACATTTAACATTTCACTTTAACTTTAAACATTTAATTTTTTGTTTCTTTCCTAAAACGCTTTCATCCTTCTCTACATTAATAGAAAGTCAATTTTTTAGGTAAGTCAGACAAGAGCATAAAAATGTAATGATCACTTTTCTCCAAACCAGAAGACAATATAATTCCATCTTTGGAATTACACATCACTCTCTCTTATTTTCTTATTAAACAATCACAAATTCTCTTCACAGTACCACACAAAACTGAGTTTGTAATGTCAGGAAATTAGATGTTCCACATAAGATAATTAAAACAAATCTTACTCCATAAGTGCTAAACATTCAAGTAATATTACTTTTCAATAGACATTATTCTAAAGACATTACATAACCACCCACAAATTTATGCAAAGCACATTAAAGACAGTATACTTTGCCTGTTGACAAAGAAGCATTATTATCAATAACCACTGTCGAACAGTGCCTTAGTATCTGATGCCCTTAGGGAATTCTTGAGGCATGTTAGACTACTTGTCACTACTTGTAAATAGTTGCAAAATTACAGACTTTAAAAATTCTTATGTTTGTTTTGTAAAATAGATTTTTCTTGTTATTGCTACTTAATTTTGTTTCTCCCTAATCTGAATGACCTTTAGTAGAAGCACCCTTCTGATTTGTTACTTCTAGTCAGCTGATTGCTGAAAGACCAGATTACCAAACTTACTAAAACAAAAATGTCTAAAATAAGCATCGGTTGACACTGTGCGTAGGTCTGAATGAAGAGTGTGCTGTATAAGTTTCTGTTTTTTGAGTTGCTCACAGGACCTTCTCTGATTCACTCTTTGGATAGTGGCTTTGTTCCTGATAGATCAATGACCTCAGGGCGAGTGAGACCACAGAGCACTTGTTTCATTACACGTTGATCCCTAATTTGGTCCTCAGAATAATTTATGTTAGAATTTATCCTCCGAAGGATTTATTTTTCTTTAGGAATAACATATTCAACTCTAAGAGAATCTGGAAGAAAACTAATCACCTCATTCTGCATTACAGAGGTCAACCAGGTGTCCAAATGAATGTTGGTGCTACACAGCAAATGATAAGATCTAGCCTTCCCGAAGCTGACAACCCACCAATTAGCCTCAGAGCATTTCCTCATAGTGGAGGCTGGCAAAAACACGTTTCAGTAATGCCTGGTTGTAAATGAAACAGTTAAGGGTCATCAGCAATGATCAAAATGACCGCTATGTAAAAAGGTCAGCCTGTAAGCATGGGTGCTTTGTTGTAATCCTGCGTATTTAATTTTATGCTTAAAAAATATTCTGAGAATAATGTTTACCACATGACCAAAAGGCAAAATGCACAGAAACACACACACAAACAAACTGAAGAACTGAAAACAATTTTTTTCCGTAGTTGGGCAGGTGTGACTCTGGTGATCCACAGATGGACTCCAAGATGAGGTTGCACAGATGAGGCTGGCAATGACTACCTTTTACTTAGGGTATTCATTCTGTTCAAGTTAAATGTTTTTTTTACTTGCAATCATACAGATTTTTCCTTTCAGTTTAGATTTAAGTGGCAAAAGCAAGTAAATTTGGAAGGATAATAAATAATGGTTATTAGTCCAAAATAATGCGAAACCTGCAAAAGTGGGAACTTCTGCCTGCCTCCCAACATTTCACCCCCAGTTTGGTTCCCCTTTCCAGACCTGTAGACCATTCTTTAATTATCTATAAAAATGAAGAATAGCTAGGGTCTGAAATATTGAAAATGCATCAAGGCAACAGGCATTTTAGAGGCTCTACCAACGATACAGAATTCTCAGCTCCTTAGGACAGGGACTGCATCATGTTCACTGTTGACTATCCAGTACCTAGCACACGGCCAGGCATGATATAGTAGGTGCACAGTCAATACTCGTTGAGTAAATGATGAATAAACTGGAGCTACAAATTTAAGGTTACTTTAAGGTCAGATCCAAATTGAGGATTCCTTCTGGAAGGTGGGACACCACCACAGATAGTCTTCCAGTTGTGCCAGTCCACGGTTTTCTGTCTTGGTGGCCCAATAAAATTACCTGAGAGCTTTTAAAAATACAGATGCTTGGGCTCTGCCTCCAGAGATTCTAATTTATTTGGTCTGGAATGGGCTTGGATTGTTTTGTCTGTTTTTGAGATGGGGTTTGCTGTGTCGCCCAGGTTAGAGTGCAGTGGTGTAATCACGGCTCACAGCAGCCTTGACCTCCTGGGCTAAGTGATCCTCCCACCTAAGCCTCCAGAGTACCTGGAACTACAGGCGCTCACCACCATGCCTGGCTAGTTTTTTTTTTTTTTTTTTGTAGAGATGAAGACTTTCTGGGTTGCCCAGCCTGGTCTTGAACTCCTGGGCTCAAGTGATCCTCCTGCCCTGGCCTCCCAAAATGCCAGGATTACAGTTGTGAGCCACCATGCCCAGCTAGCTTGGTATTTTTTAAATTCTCAAGAGTAATCAAGGTTGAGAACAACTGCTGTAACTCATGAATATTTTTAGACTCTGTACCTGAAAACAAATCAAACTAATGTGTATGAGATGAGACTCTAAACAAGGAAGAAACTTTAACAAAGACAAGACTTTAAAACCTGTTATATCAGAATAATAATTTTCTAGGTTCCTTGTTATCCAAATCCAGTGGCATCGGAATTACCATTGCTAACAAATAGGTGATTATTGGAGAGAGATTGGCCAGTAAGCTGATGGGTTAAAAAGCAAATAAGCAAACACACACAGCAAACTAAAACCTAACTGCAAGGCTTTAAAACTTATATTACACCTTTCTGCAAAGACCAGCCTGGCCAACATGGTGAAACCCTGTCTCTACTAAAAATATAAAAATTAGCCAGGTGTGGTGGTGGACGCCTGTAGTCCCAGCTACTCGGGAGCCTGAGGCAGGAGAATCACTTGAACCTGGGAAGCAGAAGTTGCAGTGAGCAGAGATTACGCCACTGCACTCCAGCCCGGGCCACAAAAGCAAAACTCCATCTCACAAAAAAAGAAAAAGAAAAACTACACATTAAAGATAGGAAAAAAAGATGAGGGGAGAAAATAAATCTTCATTATTCACAACTGCCACAGCAACAGCTAGCTGTAATATGGGGCCATGTTAACTTGTGGGTTTAACCGCTTTCCTCCACTCTGCACTTCACCTTCTGTGACAGCACCAACTCCACCTTTCCACTCATTTCATTTTCTGGTTTCTTCTGCTCTTTTTCTTCTGGCACATCGTTCTTCAGCTGGGGGCTGGGGGGAAATTCCACAAAGGCCACAGTCGGGCTGCATCGAGTCACAGTTGTTGTAAAATGCTGTGGTTCTGCAATGGAGTTACATCCAGAAACAGAGAAGGAAAAGAAAATCAAATCACTATAGGGCCATTTACTCTGCAATGCCACGAATATGACATTGCCATGATACAGACTTTCAGTCCATATCCTGTCCTGGCAATATAAGCTGGATGACAGTGTGCTGAGAGGTATAAAAGAGCCTAAGATGCTGGAATTCCCAAAGCTCTTTCATAGTACTGAACAACAAGCAACATAAAACATGTCCTATAACCACACTATGAAGAACTTCAGTTTTTGGTAAGGGTCATGGTTTACATCTGAATAACATTACATGGAACAGAAAGCTGACATGAAATATATAATGATTATGACAGCTGGGCTGGTTGAGAGAACATCTACAGGTAGTTTCTATCCCAGTGAATGAGCAGCAACCTGATGCTTCCTTTTTCTGTATTTCAATACTCCATTTTAACATCAGAATTTCTTAATTGGAATGTGTTATGGATTGTGGGGTATATGTATATAATGCAATGAAAATAAAGTGTTCTCTGATACTTAAAGAAGAATTAGGTTCACTTTATAAGGGGTGGGAAAGTCACTACCCAAGGGGGCATATCAAAACGTGAAGGCACAATCTAGTTTGAAAAAGTATACGCTATTATTTTAAGTGATATTTAATTTATTTTAAAATGTCACTTAAAAATAATTTGGTACTTAACAAATTATTTTTCTCAAGTGGTAAACACTTGAGAAAGGCCTTATAAAGGTAATAATTTGGTATTGGAAGAGGGTGAGGGGTTTTACGGTTTATCAAAAGAAGAAATGTGTTAAACATATTGATAAGGCTGCAAAAAATATTGAGCAACAAGACTTTCAGGAACAGGGGTCTCCTTGCTAAAACTATGAATACAGTATATTATACTCACTGTCCAGATTCATGGCACTATTTTATTCTTTTTAAACTATATGTGAGCATTATCATTTCAGCATCTATTTTTATGTTTTTGATCTCTCGCTTATCTGTTGCTGTTACTGTGTGTCAAAATCTTACCCTCAATTTTTAGCATAATTTATATGGGAGAACACAATATTCTTCATGATTATAGAGATAAATATATAAGAAACAAAATAAAACTGGGTAGCTTTAAGAAAAAGCACGGGCTCGTATTTTCAGAGCAACATTAACCATATGGGCAGAACTTCCCCAGGAAGCCTCTAGGTGGCAGCACAACCACACCACTCCTAGAGTCTAATTACTACCTTTCTGTGGCTCAGTAGGAAAATTCTTGGCTATTTCCATTACATCTTAAGAGTTATCATGATTTGCCTTAAAACTAGTCTCTTATGAAACAAACCTGATGAGGCAAGTTCTATATTCCCTTTTCTTGGTTTTCCACCGTCATTTTCGTCCTCTTGACTATTTGGTTCCGTTTTCTCAGTGGTTGCCTGAAAAAGAGATTTTTTTTCCCCCCTTGAATAAATTATTACTTTAAAGGTTCTAAAAATTATTTTTTAAGCAGTAATTTTTAGGCCAACAAAGTGGTTTGCTCATATAAATTCCCTCTTCTACTTCCCAGGCAGCTTCATGGTGACAGCCTGGACTGGCTGGAGGGAGACATTCGACGGAGAACAGGACACCCATGCGGTTCACTATCTCCCCAAACTTCCTATGACTGCCTCGGATGTACATCCCACATTTTCTTTTCTTTCACCACCAAAAGTTCAAAATCATGGCTATCCCCCACTTGTTCCTGAACACCTTTCAAGCTGGCTTAGGGACATAACACCAGTGAAGTCTTTTTGTCTTTTGTGGCCTGTCTTGGCATAGTTGCCTGTGGCCCTTAGCACTGTGGATTTTAGTCTAAAGTTCTCATCCTTCCTGGGCTCCCAGTGAATCTCTATTACTGGAGTTCTAATTCATTCTCTCCTTTTCCCTCTCCTCCCCACTCTCAGCCTACTCTTCTCTCATTGGTTCTTTTTCCTTTTCATCAAAGTATGGGTCATTCCGAAAGATTTCAACTGGACCCTGTTTTCCTCTACCTGTGCTGAATTACCCTCAAGTATATAAATTATTCCCATGGATTCACCATTACATTCTCCGTGTATAACTCATATTTTCATCTCCAGCTGTGAGAGTCCATCAGAGCTTTGGTTTCACCTCTAGGGTCAATGGCCTTCTCCTCCAAATTTGACAATTTCTGTTTATAGCAGCAGTTCTTCCCATCACATAAACTTTGAAGTGATCTTTGACTCATACCCTGTAAATAGTCATCATTTGCCAAGTCCTACTAAGTTTCGAACATACTAGTGCTCATACCCATCACTTCCTTTCTGTTTCTATGGCTGGGAATTCAGGTTTGCCTTTCCTCCTTGTTCTCCACTAAGAAGTCTCTGTGAGTTGGACCTCACTGTCTAATCCACTTGGCACATCACTGTCATGTTCATCTCCATGGCACCTTCAGTTATTATTCTAATGCTTGTGTTCCTCTCTCTCAGTAGTACCTCAATTGTGTCAGTTTTATGCTTGATGGAATTTATAATAGTAAAAATAATTGGAACAACTTAAATACCCAATAATTGGGGAATGATTGAATGAATTACTGCATGTCCATAAAGGCAATATAATCACGAAAAAAAGATGTTGAATAATAGTTAATGATATGTGAAAATACTGTCCAATGATAGGAAATGTAAACTGTACATATAGTTTGATGTTTACATTATAAGATTATATACATGCCTATACATAAACATATAGGAAAAAAAGAAAATATCAAAATGTTAATTGTAACTATTTTTAATGTGCTTAAATTTTGGGTGACTTTTCCTTCTCTTTACATGTATTTTATGTATTCCAAAATGTTCTGTAATGACTATGTATTACTTCTGTAATTGGAAAACAAAATCAATGTAATTTTACATTGTCTTTCACTGGGAGCCAACTGACTCTAGAACAAAGTCCAAAATTATCTTGCTATTACAATATTTGCTTAGCAAAAATAAATAAAATGTTAAATTAAATACTAGCTAGATTATATTTTGACAATTAAAGAGAGCAAGCTAATGACTACTGCATTTTTTGGTAGAAGTTTCTTGTAAAAAGCTAAAGTTAAATTTTAAAGTGTGTATGAAATATTGCATACATTTTAAAAGGTTTTAAGATAAAGGTTAAAGTTGATTTCAGAAAAAGCATTACTAAATAATTCATAAAATATCCCCATGGGTTCTCAAGAACTATGAATTTATTCATCTCTCATAAGTATATATATTTTATCCATAAATCAAATTTTGCCTCTCAAAATGAAATTTAAAGTTAATGCATTGGTGGAAACCATCACTGAATTCTTTAAAAACAAAAAAATTTTAAACAACAAAACTTTCAAGTTTCTAAAAGGTTTTACAATAGCATCTAGTGGCAAAATGTGATTTTTCTTTGGAGGATGGGGTAGTTTTGAAATCCTCATAATTAGATGGGCATTTTCTAATGATGGACAGTCATGTATCAATTCTGGAAGAACATAATATTAAGTTAAAATGCACTTTTAAAACCCTAGGCAGGAAATATGCATCACCTTGGTATTATTTAATGGATTTTGTAATATTTTCATATATCAATAAGTCTGGGTTGAATCCCTGCAGGAAATATGCATCACCTTGGTATTATTTAATGGATTTTGTAATATTTTCATATATCAATAAGTCTGGGTTGAATCCCTGCAAGAGAATGAAATGAGTGAAAATAGTTAACTGTCTCTTTTGTTATATTTAGGTTATGGTACATGTGTATGTTTACATTGTTTACTATATGAACCACCAACATGGCAGTAGGATTTGAAGATCAACCAGTTTAGCATTGCAAAAGAATAAGTTGGGTTTTATAATTTAAAGTGCTCGCCCACACATGTAGAAATATTAATACATGATGGCATTTTTGTTTTATGATGTCTATATAGAAAATACTGGCAGAAATACTGATTTTTAGCTTTCCCTTCCCCACAAATGGATTACATTATAGAAAACCATCTGAGACCAGGAAACGAATTTGCAGTTAAATATTGATGAATGAGCCTCTTGAGAACACTGGTGTTTCCAAATACTATAAACAAAACAAATAACTGCACAACAGGGCCAACGTCTCACCAGACCAAAAATGAACAAAGAAATGAACATATTTTATTAAATCTAAAACGCCATCCATTTTAAGTGGTATTACTTTAGGTACTACTAAGAGAGAAAACACACCATCTGTTAAATATGCTGCACTATTGATTATAAGACAGATCCTGATTTAGAGATGTTAAAATGTGAAAAGTGTGCCACTTAGAATCAATGAAGTAAGACAATTCGTGAAGCCCTGTAGACCTGATGTGTGATGCAAAGCGGACGGGGTGCTCAAGCATTAACTACTTTACTAAGGCTTATTGTACCAGCGCACCACATTCCAGCAACGTTTTGCCACTTAACGCGTGCCGGAGAACTTCTACTTTCAAGAATTCTCACATTTCTCAAGGCATTTCTGTATGGCTCAGCGCTCAAACACTAAACTCCAGATAACCCAATTTATCTTACCTTAAATGGATGCTTTAAAGGTTACATCCTGACATTTGATATGGTAAATTGATAGTAGCAACAGCAGAAACTGCAATCAATATTTACTCACTTGCCACGTGTCAGTGCTGTTGGGCCTTTCATAAGAATCATCTCACATAATTCTCAGAGCAAGCTTAGGAGGTAGGTGCCAATATGATTCCCTTTATACAAGCGAAGAAACTGAGGCCCAGGAGGTGAAGCAACTTACCGAGGGTCATACTGCTAGAAGGCAGGGGAGGTGGGAACCCTGCCTGTGCTGGTGATCTCAATGCTCCACCATCTGGGCTTAGAGTCATATCCCCTCCAAGCTGTCCTCCAGTATTTAGCAGTTTTGATCCAGGAGAGGCAATCTATCACCTGAGAGTCTTGTTTATTGCTGAAGTGATTCAAACTGCTTTTTCCATTCCCTTTCTTTCCTCTACCTCCCACTCATTTATTCTGCAAAAGATTAGAACTCTCCTGGAACCTCTCCTGGCTCCTGGAGACCCAACTGCCCCTGGCCATCAGCTCATCTCAGGGATTTCTGTTCAGTCCAGGTTCTGAGGGATTAGGAGCCAGATGCGTAATCCTTGTTAAGTAAATAAATATTATGCATTATTTATGGAATGTATACTCTGGCTTAGTTTAAATGTATGCTAGTCATCAAAATCTGGCTACTGCTAGCAAAATATTCAGATAAAGTAAGAGAAAAAGCAAGCAATTTGAATAACAGGAACCCATTTAAAAATACTTTATACACACTGAGAAAAACAAGAATATACATTTTCTAAAAATCTTAGCATTAATTTCAGAGTGGCTGAGTAATAGGTAGTTGACGGTTTCTCCAGTTTTCTGTATTCTGCAATGTATATAGGCTATCTGTAATCAAGGGAAATCCCCAAAGCCAGGTTAATTAACTTATGTCTGGATACTCCATCCTGGAGGCTTATTACTTTTGTACTCACATCATTACTTCAAAGGAAATGAGTTCAAAGTTGGCAGGGATACACTCAGAGGTTTGCTTCAAACAAACCCGCCTTGCTGGAAAAATGTGTTTTCTGACCTGTATTTTTCTTTGGTTACAGCTCAACAGAGGAGAGCCCTTCCCTTCTCCAATTGGTAACACTTTCTCAAGAATGAAAACAAGTAAATAAAAACAGATCCCTGGATGTGAATGAATGAGAGCACAGAAAGACTGCATGGGACTCAGCCAGGAGCTGGCTTCCCCTTAACTGAGAATGCGATCCAAACTGCCCGGGTGCCAGACTCAGCCCTGGGGCCTCAGGTGGGAGGCGGCAGTTTCCTGGCTTGAGAGAGACACGGTCTAGCCCAAAGCCTACCTGGCATCTGGCTGCTCATTTTAACTAGGATCTTGGTGATGGACTGGCCCAGAGAACGATACTGGAAGATGTATTAGAAATGTGAAGCAGGAGGGCAGGCACCCTCCTGAGACTGAGGACCTGGGTGCTGGGCCTGTCTCTAGCATGGAGTTGCTGGTGAGCTCGGACTGATCATTTAACCTCTATGGGTTGGAACAAATGATGTCCAAAGTCCTCTCCTCAGCAACGGTTCTGTGACTCTGAGTGAATTCCTGGCTCTTGTCTTGAATAGCTTATCTGGACACAAGCCTGGAAAATCAGTCTATTTATGCTCTGGCACTGCGGTGCCAGACCCAGGTGCCACATATGCTGTGCATGGATTTCTCTTTTCACTTTTATACCTCCAAATATCTACTGCCACTGGAAGACAGAGAATCTATATGGAGAATCAGGCTCTCCATGTCTTATACTTTTTTTTTTTTTTTGTACTAAACTTTTCAAATTAAAAAAAAAAAAATGAGGCTTTGATCCAGGTAACTGGATAGGTAGGCCAGGTTA